GGGGGGGGGGGGTTGGGGGTGGGTCTTATCACACAGCAGGCAGGAGGGCTGCAGCGAGACATTTCTGGGAAACAAGAGCTCCAGCAAAGCAGCAACATTTTAATGAGCAGAGGCATTGCGACAGTCGGACAGAGTAGCAATTAGATTAGTGACAATTAAAATCCTGTAGCGAGGGATAAATATCTTTATTCATTTTCTGTCACTCTGGACTGGGACAAATTAAGTAGGAGGCAAAGGGAAATTGTTGCCTTGTTGCTTTGAACTCCCCCACTAATGGATGCTGAGTCTGGCGGGTGCGAGAGGAGGAGAGGAGAGGAGAGGAGAGGAGAGGAGAGGAGAGGAGAGGAGAGGAGAGGAGAGGAGAGGAGAGGAGAGGAGAGGAGAGGAGAGGAGAGGAGAGGAGAGGAGAGGAGAGGAGAGGAGAGGAGAGGAGAGGAGAGGAGAGGAGAGGAGAGGAGAGGAGAGGAGAGGAGAGGAGAGGAGAGGAGGACACACGACTTTACCCCTCCTGCCACCCCTGCCCAGCTTGCCAGGACCCTCACACAGCCCAGACAGATGCTTTCCTCAATGCCAAACTCTTTTCTTTTGTTCCATTTTTTTCTGTGGAAAAAAAATAAGGGGGTGAAGTGAGCCCTGGGTGTAACGCTGCTGTGTTTGGAAACCTTCCATCTCCCCCTCTCCGGCAGGAGGCAGTTGGCCCTGAGCAGTTTCATTTATTAGCAGCTCTTTTGGCCAGGATTTTCTGGCCCTTCCCTTGATGAGATGCCCTGGGCTGTTCCAGTGGTGAATGTGCTGGGGTGTTAAAGCACAGCTCTGGCTGTTAAAGACATGGTGTACCCACAGCATGGGCAATGGGTGGGCATGTCCTCCCAGCCCCCTGTGTGTTGGGGTGTTTTGGTGGGGGGACTGGGGAGCTGTGCCATGCCATGCCATGGGCTGTCTTTGCACTCCCAGCCCTGCCCAGCTGCCTGCTCTGCCTCTGCATTGGCACCTCCGTCTACTGTGATGATGCTGACCTGGAGCACGTCCCATTGCTGCCACCAGAGACCACCTCCCTCTACGCCCGCTTCAACCGCATCGGCACCATCCGCGCCAGCGATTTCATGGGGCTGGGTACGTCCAGGCAGGCTCTGAAATAGGGCACAGGGGGAATAAACAGTTCTCTGGGGGTCCCTGTTCATCTTCTCCCTCCTCTCCCACCAGAGAAGCTGAAGCGAATAGACTTGACCAGTAATTTCATCTCCTGGGCGGATGCAGACGCCTTCCGCCTGCTCCCCAGCTTGCAGGAGCTCATCCTGCCCGAGAACAGGCTGACAGCACTGCCCGAGCTGCCCCACAGCATCATCCGGCTCGATGCCCGTCTCAACAGGATCCCCAGCACCGGCCTCCGGCCCGAAGCTTTCCGGGTGGGTGCTGGGGCTGCTGGCCAGGTGGATGCATCCAGGCTGATTTTAGCCCAAATCTGCCATGCCGAGGGGTAACGGGGATGGTGTAGAGGAGCAGGGCTGGGAGGAGGGAGGTTCATCTCTCCCCTCTCCCCGCAGGACCTGAAGCAGCTGCAGTTTCTCCATCTGTCTGATAACCAGCTGGAATATATCCCAGCGCCCCTGCCCGAGAGCCTGCGCTCCCTGCACCTCCAGGTGAGATGAGCCCAGACCTTGGCTTGTCCCTACCTGAATCTAGCAGAGCCCCACACTGCCTCCTCCTCCTCCTCCTCTTCCTCCCCAAACGTTTGAATCTGATTTTGCCCTTTGCCTCCCTGGCCAGAACAACAACATCCAGACCATGCATGAGGACACGTTCTGTGACAGCCAAGACCACAGCCAGATCCGCAGGGTGCTGGAGGACATCCGCCTTGATGGCAACCCCATCAACCTCAGCCTTTTCCCCAATGCCTATTTCTGCCTCCCCCGCCTGCCCACAGGCCACTTTTTCTGAACCCCACAGCTCCAGCGCTGGGAAACAAGGGTGAGCATTCCTAGACCCACCATGCCCCCACTCCAGACCTGCTGCCCCATGGAAAACATGGGGTTAAGGCAGATACATTTAACCCCAGTCTGAGCTGAGCCTCCATGTAGAGGTAAACTCAGTTCTGGGGCACATGGAGCAGGGGTTGGGCAGCTTTAATAAAATGAAGACTTTAAAAATGCATTCAGTGTCTTGTTCTCAGCAGCAAGAGCAGCAGAAAACCCTCACCCAGCCCCAGCCGCTTTGTGAATGGTGCCAGTTTGGGGACACGCCCGTGTCCCACTTCGTCCTCAGTTCCCTGACAGGGCCTTGGGTAGACCCATCTCCTTTCAGGGTTTCCTGGACAGGGAGCAGGAACAGCATTGCTCCAGAGAGGTGATGCTTTGACCACATCAGGTTTGACCTGTGTGATGGTGTTGTCCCCTCAACCATCCCCAGGTCCATCCAGTGGGTCCATGCAGCTCCAGAGGAGTGTTTCAGACCCAGGTGTGAGCTTTGGCCACAACTCTGCTGTCCCCATGTCTGCTCCAAGAGAGGATGCAATAGGAAACCTCAGCACAGGACAAACAGAGTCATCCATCACCTCACCCCAGACCCACTGCAGCCCCATTGCCCCCACTCCCTGGGTCTGGGAGCTGTGTTGGGGTCTCCAGCATGAGCTCTGCCTGGAGGGAGGGTGTCCCTGGCTTTGGGTCTGCTTCAGCTGCAGAGAAAGTGTGGAGCAGCACCAGAGCCTGCGAGCCAAACCGCCCCAGGTCCAGCAGAAAAGAATCCCTCGAGGGGGGAGTGAAAATATCTCTGATCATCCCAGCTTTCAACACCCAAAAAGAGCTGCCCAGTGGTGAGATATTTTAAATATAATGTATTCATCCTCTTATATTTTTATACACATGTAACAAACACACATACCATGAGAGGGATGACACATCCCTAGAGAATCCAAAATCCTGCACTGAAACTACTGAGCTCAGCCCACATCCTCCAGACCTGGGGTGGGGGAGACTGGAGAAAAACCTTGCAAGAAGATCCAGCTTCTCATCTGTGGACACACTGCAAATGCTGCTGGGCACTCGTGCCTGCGATCCTGCCTCCTGGGCACAGCACGAACAGGGAGCACGTGTTTGTGCTTCACCTCTCTCCCTTTGCCTTTCTTCTCCACGCAAAACCCAACAGAGACATAGATTATGTTGATCCAAAACCCAGGACCCTTGGTAAATGGGAATTTGGAATTATTCCAGCCTTTCCTTTCAGGCTAGATCTAAAATGCCAGGATTTATTACTGCTGTGGTCATGTCCTCCTGGAAACAGCTGTATCTATTTATCTCTCCCCTGTCTGTCTAGCCCCATATCCCACCTCCTTCCCCATCCATCTTTCTGCCACCTTCACACTGTCCTTTACCCCCGCTGATCTCATCTGCTCCCGTGGGATGAAGTATCACCACACACCCAGGCTCTGCTCCAGTTGGATGGATTTGGCCAACTTTTCCCTCCGGCCCTTCGCCTTCATCCCACTAGATGGCAAAGGCAGAGTGTTTGCAAACGCCTGACCTTAACTTTGGACTGCAAACTCACTCTCTGCTGTTTACCTCCCTTCTGGGGTGGTTTGATCTTCTCATGGGCATGCCCACACAGCTGGGGAATAGCCCAGGTGTTCAGTGTTGGCAGAGGAGGGATTAAAAGGAGCTGCAGAGGGGGAAGAAGGGTTTGCTTCGTGTGGGAGGAGAGCGAGGTAGGTGGAGGGATGGTTCTGGGGGTGTTGGGTTTGCAGTGATTTAAACTTTTTGAAGAGGAATGAGGTGGCCCTAGGGGGATTTTTGCTGGGGGAGAGTTGAGATTTAGTGGTGTTGGTTCATCTTGGGTGGTTCTTGGGTCCCCTTGTACCTCAGGGGAGGTGGGAATGGGTTGGGGCTGTCTTTCAGAGGTGGTTGCTGGGGGCTCAGCCCCACTGTTCTGTTGGTGCAGGTATTAACTGCGTTCTCCTGTCCTTGCTGCTGCCAAGTCGGGGGGAAAGAAACCAGTGCCTGTCTTTGCAGTGTGGTTCAGGGAATGGCAAACCCCTTCTGCTGCTGGCCCCATGGCCCTTTCCCACCCTGCTGAAATGTCTCCTCCATGGGGGTGGGATGTCCCCAGACCCTCCCCGGGCATCCCAGCAGGACTGGGTGGATCCTGCGTGGAGGCACAGAGCCTTTCCAGGGCTGGAGATGGTACTGGGTGTTAGAGGGGCTCTGCTGAGCCCTCCTGCCCATGGGACAGTCTTGCTCCGGTTGAACCCAGCTCAGCAGTGTGTCCATGATTCAGCCACCCTCTCTGTCACCCTTGCTGCCCCGTGTCCCTTAGGCTGTGGCTGGGCAGCTGGGAGTCCTGGCTCCTCTCCATCCCCTGATGGCTGCAGCTCTACCCAGCTGATGTTTTGGCTTATGTCACTCCTGAGGGGCAGGGTCACCGCCTGCCCCTGGGGACATGCTGGAATTTTAAGCCATTTCTGTGGAGGAGGCTTTGTAGGATTGCACAGCCTGTCCTGTGCATGTAGGGGACTGTGCATCTCTGCTGAGATCCAAGTGCTGCTGCTGCTGCCAGTCTGCCATGGGTACCGCCTGAGCCTGGCTAACAGGGCTGGCAGAGGAGCAGCCAGGAAGCAGAATTGGTGCAGGACCCGTGTTAGAAGCTGTGAGCTGGAGCTGTCAAAGGCAAAATGTTGATCTGATGTCCAGAACGTTTGCTGAGTAACAGCAGGAGCTGTGGAGCTTCAAAGTAGTCTCTGCTGGGAAATGGTGGCAGCCCCATTGCTGGAGACAGTTAAATAACATGGGGCAGTGGGAGCAGCCCTGGTTGGAGGGGATGGGTGAGAGGTGGCTGCTCCCAGACTGTTTTGCTTTAGAGATGTGCAGGGAGCTGCGTTCCTGGTACAGGGTGTGAAGGGATGGAGAGGGAGGAGCAGACTAACTCCAGGCATTAACCTCCATCCCCTCGTCCTCCCTGGCTGGACCCACGGCTGCCCTCTCCCTGGACACACAGCAGCTCCTGTCCTGCCTGTCCCTCTCGTTCCCCTCCATCCATCCTCCCTCACCCAGAGAGCATCTCCATCTGTAATTCATGCAGCTCTCCTCCCTCTGTCTCTCTGCTGCTCAAGGTCACCTTCCTCGCCTGGGCTGGATTTTCACATATTGATTGCTTGGCTCTAACAGCCGACATCTCCGTGAGCTCCCAATCTCACGCCAGCTCAGCATCTTGTCGCTCTCTGGGAGAAGCATTTCCATATGGGCCCCCCTCCCCATCCATCCTGCCCTCCCCCTCCACACTCTCCTCCCAGCCCTGGCCATGCATCATTAACCAGTACCAAAACAGAGGTGGGAAAGTGTTCAAGCCCTGCAGAAGAGCAGCCTTCTCCCTTCTCTGTCTCCTGGGAAGCAATGACATGAGCATGCTCCTTCCCTTAGTGATTTAGGAGGAGCTGGGACAGTGTGTGGCACCCTTGCAGGGTCTCAGTGTGCTGCTACGCCTGTCTGTGAGCTTCCTCTGTCCTCTTCTGCTCAGGTTTTCTCTCATGGGTCCTTGTCCCCTGGTGGGAAATGAGCTCCTCGTCATCACATGAGCATCCTCATCCCATCCTCTCCTCATGCCCATCCCTCTTCCTGCTCCCCTCTCCTCACCCAGATTTTCTCTGTGCTCTCTTCCACCACCAGGAGCTCCCTGGGCCATGTCCCTTGGCCACCACCTGGGGACAGAGCCATCCTTTTCTGTCCCTTTGCAGCTCCTCAGCCAAGGCAGCCCAGGCAGTTTACAGGTCAGGAGCAGAGCGGTGGTGGCCAGGATTAGGGACCTGAAACAGGAGTTGGAGCAGGAGGAGGATGGAGACTTTTAGCCCCCCTGGAACCCAGGCAAGCTGGCAAGAGGCTACAGAGATGACAGGTCTCCCTGTCCAGTGGCAGTGGCCACGTCTGTGCCATCCCATCCCTGATGGCCCCACAGTACCAGCCCTGCCCCCAACCCACGCCCAGGACACGCAACCAGTGGGTTTATTGGCAAAAGTGCAAAAATCAATGGCAGGATGGAAAAAGGCCACTGAACTGTGGATGCTGACAAGCTTCTGGCCTCCTCCAGGCTAGAAATCACCCTTAAACGCTGCTGGGGAGGAAGTGCTGTGGCCCAGCTTGCTCAGCGAGTGAGGCACGGATGATAACAGCTTTATTTATAGCACTTAACTGGCTGTTGGCTCAGGGCACCGATTTGTGCTTCGCGTGCGATCGTTCGGGGCGGCTGTTTGTGCAGCTCATGGCTGGAGCACTCACACAGCCCCACCAAAGCCATCAGCGAGCTCCCACCACCCGAAATCAGGGCAGGAATTTG